GCAACCTCCACCTCCCAGGTTCAAGCGATTCTCCTGCCTCAGCCTCCTGAGTAGCTGGGAATACAGGTGCACACCACCATGTCCAGCCAATTTTTTTGTATTTTTAGTAGAGATGGGGTTTCATGATATTGGCCAGGCTGGTCTTGAACTCCTGACCTCATGATTCACCCACCCTGGCCTCCCAAAGTGCTGGGATTACAGGCGTGAGCCACCAAGCCTGGCCCACTGTGGGGATTTTCTCAATTTTTGTGCACATAAGCAGATGGCAGACAGTGTTGAAGTTAGAGCAGAATCCATGCTTTGCTCCTCCCTTACAAAGCCACAGCACTGTAACCTCATAGCTTCTCCTGTGGAAGCCTCACTTTCTCTACTGGCTTTTTCTTTCCCATTTGAGCACCTCTGAAAAAAAGATCCTCTGCTGAATCTCTTTTATTTCTACCTCCATACCTTTTGGCCTTTGGGGAATTAAAGAAAAAAATCACTACTTAGTGCCTTTGTGCCAGATCTTTAAGCAAAAAAAACCCAAAAAATTAGAAATTGCCTGGAAAATGCAAGCTCAGATATCAGCTGATCCTGGTTATTCAGAGAAATTGGTCAGGCGTGTTACTGAAGGTTTAAATTATGCAAGATATGAAATATAAAACTAATAAATTAGTGTTATCTTAAGATCTCTGTTACTATGGTTTTTTTAAGTTGGATTTACTATATTTTTCATGTTTGTATAAGTACCTTCCGTGATTTCTCCTAGATTTCATTATAAATGCAAAGTGGGGCAGAAAGAATATGGTATTGGTACAGGTTCTACTAAACAGGAAGCAAAACAACTGGCTGCTAAACTTGCATATCTTCAGATACATAAATCAGAAGAAACCTCAGTGGTATGTACTGCCTTTGCATTAAATTTTTGTGGTTTAAAATTCCCTCTGAAGTTGACTTGAGGTTAGACTGTGTTTACATTATGCCAAGACAGCCAGTGATTTAGCAAAATGATTCCTCCAGTCTGTGTCACACCAATGAACCATGTGCCATGGGGCCACGAGGCCTCAGAGGGATAAAAGTTCTGTTGGTAACTCAGGGTGGTTTTAAAAATCCAGACCAGGCTGGGCATGGTGGCTCACACCTGTAATCTTAGCATTTTGGAAGGCCAAGGCTGGTAGATCTCCTGAGCTCAGGGGTTTGAGACCAGCCTGGCCTGGGCAACATGGCAAAACCATGTCTCAACAAAAAAAAAAAAAAAAAAAAAAAAAAAAAAAAAAAAAAAAAAAAAAAAAAAAAAAGATATTTAACATATTCTTATTGCTGTCTGAAAGAGAAATTTTTATAAAAACATTTAATGTTTAAGGAGAATTTAGAGAAAGAATCAGTGATAAAAACAGTAAACTAATAGTTACATCCTTTTCTTCTAGGGCTTCTGAATCATCACCTGAAAGTAGTTTCTCAGAAGATACATCAGAGATAAATTGTAACAGTAGTTTAAACAATTGTTCTTCATTGCCTATGGTATCGTATTAGTCTTGAAGCTTCCTACTTAATCTTATTTTTCTGTGTGTTTCCTCATTTAAAAATAACTTCCAATGGGCCAGGCGCGGTGGCTCACGCCTATAATCCCAGCGCTTTGGGAGGCCGAGGCGAGTGGATCACGAGGTCAAGAGATCGAGACCATCCTGGTCAACACGGTGAAACCCCGTCTCTACTAAAA